TTAAGTTCGATGTAGGGAAAGAATATTCAAATGGAAGTTCAGGAGCCCTAGGTCCTAAAATTCATGGCAGTCATTGCAGCAACCTCTCTGGGAATCAAGTTTCTTTCAATTTAAAACATTCCACAATGACCTTGAAACAATTTTATGTATTTTCTCTCACCAGCTATTGAGACATGTGCCAAGAAGATAGAGTCTTTTCCTAAGATTCTAGAACAGACATAATTATGCTTGGAAGACCAATGTTTTCATATTGCCAAACTTTAAGTTATGTTGAAAAAAAGAAAAAAAAAAATCTGGCTGATGGTCAGAAGGTAGTGTTCGTAGCAAGTAAGCACTGTGCAGATGGGGGCCCATGTTTATTCGCTTTAATTCACTTGAGAGATTATCCTGTAGTGTACTTTTTATTTCTTCTTCAGTACAAAAAGTCAGATAGTTATGACACTAAGAGCTGAAGAACCTTTGGCTTCTTATCTAACCGTAGACCCAATGATTACATTTCCTATACCAGCTTCCACACATTGGTCTGTGATGACTTGTCGTGAAAAAGAAAGTTCAAGCAGCAATTTTTTCCATGTAGTGAAACAATTTCTAAATTTTAACAGTGCCATTTTTGGTATCAAAATATCCTTCCTGATATATTTATGCATACATATCTTATCAATTATTTTAGTAAACCAAAACAAAAAAAATTGACACCTACAATGGTTTGAAAATCTTAAAACAAAACACAGCACCCTTCAATAGAAATTTTTGGTCAATACTGCCTTAGCCAAATGCTTACCAGGTAAGCCTTCACGCTTTGTATAGAACATGTCCAGTGGTAGATTTGACATTTTCTGAAGCAACCCCATTTCATTTTTGGGAAATTATTAAAAATTGCCTTTTAACCTTGAGCCAGGTAGTCTCAATTTGACCTCTTGGGACCATACAGAATGTATCTAATTCTTCTGCCTTGTGACACTTTTCAAGGTTCAGGAAACTGGGCATTATATGCTACCTGGGCACTGACCCCTCCTTTAACTCGCCCTTCTCCAAACCAAATCGTAACTCTCATCCCTGTGATTTCCTGTGTTAACACCACAAAAACCTAAAAATGCTAGTTAAGTATGTTTTCTTCATATTGTTAAAGACTTGAAATTTATATATTTACTTATAACCCATTTGTCTGTTAATATGCAGTAAATATGGGACGAAGTGATTTAACTTTGCTTTTCAACCCATTTCCCAAATTATTCACCAGTGTCAATTACAGGGGAAATACTTTAATGTTTTCTAAAACCTGTAGAGAATCCTTCAAGCCATCCTGATAAAAGACATGCTGACTAGAAATCACTGCTGTTAACTAGAGCAGCTCTCCAAAGCAGTACTAGGAGGTAGTCTAAGTCACTTATGCACTTCATATAAAAACTTACAAACAAAAACCCTTAAAATATTCTGTAATTCAAACGTGTAAACCTTAATTACAAAGATACCTGAATTACACATAAGTCAAAGTTTACAAAGGTGTTCCCCTACCCCAGTTAGTCTAATTTTGTACACATTAAATGCAAAAAAAATCTGAATTAAATGTCAGAGTCAACAAAATGCACAAGCCAGAAGCAGTTTAGTGCTCACAAGTTTATATTTTTAGGTTTGATAAAGATTCTTGTGTATTTTCTAAATACACAGACAAAACAGTTTTGGAAGTTTACATACATGTCTTAGGACACTTATACTAGGTAGGTAAATTACATTAAAATTGGTCTTCGTAAAAGATCTTCCCAAAGAGCTTTTACAAACAGCAGGCAGAAGAAAATGTTTTTATGTTTACAGTGTTTAAATGCTGATTCTCCCATTTCATAATGGCCTCAACCATCCCTCTCCTCAACCCAAAATGTTGTTCTCAATCGCCAGTGTACTCCAAATTTAAGTACCAATGTCTTAAAATTCAGGGCCTACTGTGTGCTTGCCCCAACACAGCTTCAATGATCTAGAACTGCTCAACTTCACTTGAAAGCAGGGATACAGCAGGAACAAAGCTTTCCATTTCCAACCCTAAAGTGACTAAGAAAAATCACCTGTACCATAGTTAAGTTTAAGGATCTGGGTGACTGAACGGCACAAAAACTGGGGTTCTTATCTCGTTCTTCCTTTAGAAATGAAAATGCCACAACCAACCATAGCGTGGGCCACACTGAGGTTGGTGTTACTTGTAGTTGGGTGACAAACAATGGCTGTATCAGGAGGAAAAAGTAGTGAGGATCTCTGAGGGAGAAAGGACTCGACACTCCAGTTCCTAACGTAGCTGTTTTAAAGGGAAAATGTGTCTCCATAGAAGACTCCTTAAGGACCTGAACTTCTACAGAAGCCGTTTGATGAGGCAGCAGTCCAGCCTCCTAAAAAGCGCCTGGGCTTCAGATGAGACCAGTGTGAGGCCAGCTCTGTCACTCCTGGTGGTGTTGCATGAGGCCACTGCAACAGGCGCTGCCTGGAGCCTCTCCTTCTAGAAAGTGGAGACAGTAGCACCTACCTTAGAGGGAACAGATAAAATAAAGCGCAACAGCACGTGTAGGCACTAAAAAATGGTAGCTTTTGGAATCATTATTCAGAAAAATAAACTCTTCATTCTATGTTGACAAAGTCCTAAAAATATAAATAAAGCTTATCAAAGTTTTAAAATTTCTGATTTTTAAAACCCATCTCATCACACTTTCCCCATGATTATACTGCTCCAGTTATTTTCAGGCCTTTTACACTGTATTGTAGTAATAGACGTTTCCAAGCCCTGATCCTTTCATTTCCCGTTTTCTCCCTCCTCCCCGTTTCTTCTTGTTCTCAGAGCTCCTGTCTATTACTGAACCACGGCCAGACAGTGTTCCAAGCTTACTCACTGTCTAGCTCTTCTCATCAGGACGGCTCTACCCAAACCAGCTAGTGTTTCCCCCTAAAATTCAAAGCTACTCATGACTGTTCAGTTCCCCTTCCTGTAATGTTTCTTCTTTTTGCAGCTCTTAATTGCTACGGTACTAGAATTTAGCAAAACATCAAGTGAGTATGAAAAACGAGGGCCAAAACCAATGGCAGCATGGGGACCAGGTGGAGGGAACTGTCTGAGAAGCCTAAGAAACAGTGCATGATCTTGATGTATCTGAGAGGGCCTGTGCTCCAGAGGGAACAGGGAAGAAACAGCTTAACCTTCCCCTCCATTAAAATTAAAAGCTCTAAAATAGTTTTCATTTAAAACATAAGTTACAAGAGAAAAATTCAGCAAACATGTCACACATAATTCTGCCAGGGCTCCAAAGACAAAATTATGATATTCCACTGTTACCTCTGAGACCAATCATAAGTTCTTAGTATTGCAACTTCCTGAAATTGTACTGTAGGTCAGAAAAAGAATATACTTAAAAAAATAGAAACGTCCAGTAGTATACCTTAGTACTAAAACTATTTTTTTTTTAAAAAAAGATCCAGAAGGTAAAGGCAGTCCCTCGAGATCATGGAACAAAATAAGTTAGGCAGTCAGCAAGTAGAAAAGTCTGTCAGTTCTGTTTCTGGTAAAATGCTTACTTAAAGAAGAAACTTTTATATAGGCTGAGGGTAATAGATTCAAGAGTATAAACATTTTTCCTTTGGATTACCTTTCTAAAAGCAAAATTGTAAAGTATCATATTTCCGTTGACTAAAAATATAGCCCAATCTGTCACAACACAACATAAAAGGTAATGGACAATTATAGATTATTTTAAATTAACAGTAACAAGCCATCTACATCAAACCTTATTTCCAGCTAAAACCAAAACAAAAGCACAACAATCCCATAGTGTACCACGTGTGTATTTCAACTCACTGTATGCAATCTAACAAAAATTTGGTCATAATTTACCAGATATACATAAATGATTTAAGTAGTAAAAGAAAATTCAGCTTAAAGAGAGTAAGTTCATACCTTGAGGAAAAAGTAAAGTACATTAAGAATGTAAAGCCAAGTCCAGTTTCTATGCAATAAGTGAACTGCAGTCTAATAAAGCAGATTTAGGTGACTTTCAGATATATATCTCTTCTCTTTAATATATATTTATATATAGACAGATCTACCAATTGTAAACTATGGTTTATTTTAAAGGAGGGGGATAAATGGGATGAAAGAAATCTTTATACTATACTTACATATTCACAATGCAGAACATTTTACGCTTAAAATACTTTTTCATTCATAGTATCTTTGTCCAACTAACATTTACTTTGGACCCCACCAGAACTACATTTTACTCATTTATCTAGAACATTGAGAATAAGATGTACTCTTCAGTCTTAAACAAAAAAATCAAACCAAAACTATTCATGTCGTTTTAGTTATGTAGAAACTATATATAAAGTTTAGATAACGAAATATGCATCTGACCATGTAACTGTACTTTGTATCTTTAATTTATCCCAGCAGAAACATCAATGTCTAACATTTAAGTATCGTTCTACTGAAATCAGAGACAACGAGAAAGCTCGTCTCTTAGAAAAGTGCCGATGTTCTGGCTTTGATCAGATGGAGCACCAAAAGGGTTGTGCCTGTGAAGTGTGCTTTGCAGCTTTCCCACACAACCAGCACAACTTAGTGACCTGATACAAAACAGGAAAATATACCCAATTTCTACTTAAAAGAAAGGTGAAAATATGACACCCCTCACTCTTATCTAATATACAATATGTCCTGATAAATGTTGTGCACATTAATATTAATTACGTGAAATGTTGCTGTGAGTCTTACAATCAGCTAATTCATCTATCAAATAACCTGACTTTTAACACATGACCCCTTGTACCCTGAAGTATTCAATTAAACATAAATTTTAAAGCCTGTCACTATTTTATTTGTAAGACTTTAGCAGATGCTGAATGAAGGTGACTGCTAGAAGGACTGTATATCAAGATGTCGTGACTTTAAGGAATTGAAAAAAATAATTCTCTATCATAATTTTAAAACACTCAATATCCCAGTAAGTATGAAACAAAAGAGAATGCAATTTTTGTGTTAATTTTAATGATAAAAGGGCACAAGAGTAAAAACCTGATATTTCACTTATATTGCATAACAAGTTAACCAAACTGGACATGGAGGATAAATCATAAAACAAATCATTTTACTTATTGTTTCTATGACTCTTTCGATCAGATTTCTGTCTTTTCAAAATAGGACTGAGGTATAGTACACTGGCAAAAATAAAAATAGGCAAACAAGAATAGTGCCAAAGTAACAGATACCCAAAACCGAATACCATATCAGAAAACATCATATAGTAACCATTTATCAGATTAGAGCAGCAAGAGGAAGTGACTTCTAAATCATAATCATTTAGTGGTATTTGTCAACTTCGCCACGGTAACTTTGCAACATCATTCTTCATTTGTGAAGTAGTAAAATTCATGTCAAAAAGGAAGGGGGAATGGAGGAAGTCAGTTAGTTCATTCCAATAAATTACCTCTCCAGTTCTTATAAACATGCCCATCAGCACAAAATTGAGAAATAATACCTAAGACTAGAAGAGACTTGGTTTAACTTATGAAGCAAATCAAATGGAAAATACAGAAAAGTACAACCAATGGGGTTGAAAAGGCCCCTCACTGAAAATCTGTATTAAAAAAAATAAAATTAATAAAAATAAAAATAGAAACAAAACTCTACTAGTACACACTAGCCTGAGTGGTTTGGTGGACAGAGGAATTGGGCCAGCTGTCACTGTATTCTCATAAATGGATTTCTTCATTCATGTTAAACTGGGACGTGAATGTCAGCTCTGTAAGGACAGGTGCTCCATTTTCATAGGACCCAAAGAGTTACTTATATCCTATAAATAAAAAATATTTTTACTTTGATAACTGACTGAAGATGTGGGGACTCCATGTAATCCAACCACAAGGTTGTTTGCTGTACAGTCCTGTGCAAATATAAAAAAATTTTTTGCTATAAGGCTTTGAGACCCTACAGTTTTCACAGCAACATAACTACCATCCAGCATGTACCATATTTTGCAAGCCTTCAAGTTCAACAATTCAAATTGCCGATTCATATTACGTCCAAATGCAGCATCCTTGAGGAGTAGAGCAGACCAGTTAGTCATCCAGAACCATACAAGCATCTCCTGGCTCATCCCATCGCGACGGGTCATGTTGATCTTCTCCATCGTCAGCGAGCTCTTCATCAGCTTCTCCTACCTCGTTCTCCTCATATTCTTCATCCCGAGGGAAATCTGTATCCTGTCCCTGATCTACACCTTCTTGCCCTCCTGGCTGTGATTTATCTGCACAGTCTACACAAACACCGTAGCGTCGAGATCCATGTCTTATTCCAACACTGGCAGCTAGCATGAAGATCTTCTTACACACCATACATTTGTATTTTTTATCCTTTTTATGCACCTAATTGAAGGGGGGAAAAATCCAGTAAGGACAGTATAGACAAAATGCATTTGAACCACTCAAATTACATCATCCATTGAACCGTGAGTGAATACACCCTTGTTTTGCTGTATAAAGTTCAGTATCAGGGCATAAATCATAACCTATGTTTAAAACTATTTAATAATCAATCTTCCTTAAAACTGCAGGTAACAGGGTTAAAATACCTCAAACTTTACTTACATAAACATAGTTTAGCTCAAAGATCAGTTATATTTAAAGTTACTTACCAGGGAATGTCTTTTTACATGTTCTCTTCGAGTAAACAGTTTTCCACAAATATCACAGCTAAAGGATCTGACTCCCGTATGAATGAGCAAATGCCTTTTTAGTGTTCGTCTGTATTTGGCTACATAGGTACAATGAGGGCATTTTAACTTGTTCATGTTTAGAGATGATTCACCTTTGAGAATAAAAAACATGCAAAAAAGCATTATATACAAACAGAAAACTTGCTATCAATAGCCTATTTAGCCCTGGCCAGTTTGGCTCAGCAGTTACAGCATCGGCATGCGGTCCAGAGAGACCCGGGTTCAGTTCCCGCTAAGGGCATGTACCTTGGTTGCAGTTTGTCCCTGGCCCTAGTTGGGGTTGTGTGAGTGGCAACCAGTCGATGTGTCTCTCTCAGATCGATGTTTCTCTCTCTCTCTCTTCCTCCCTGTCTCCCTCCCACTCTGTCTAAAGATAAATGCAAAAATGTCCCCTGGTGAGGATTTTTTAAAAAGAAAATAAAAAAGCTTATCTATCCCTGAGGAACAGGAACTATTATAGGGCTACTACTCTCGATATTTTTTAAAAACTCGATATGTGGAAACTTAATTGTTAAGCGTTATTTAATAATTCTGTAGATGTTTAATTGACTAATACTTGCCATTTTCCCAAGTTTCTTGTTTTGGCCAAGATTCAGGCAACAATCCATACTTGAAGTCGTTTGCAGCACCTGGTAGCAATCCATACTTAAAATCATTTGAAGTACCTGGTAGCAATCCATACTTGAAATCACTTGATGGGCCCGGCATCAGGCCATACTTGAAATCATGTGAAGTACCTAATACAATTGAAAGTGATTGATGTAATAATGATAATGAAGATCTGTCTCTTGTTAGAATCAAACACAATAAATATATTATGAGCACTGTGATAGAAGAGCTTAATATAAAATAGCTAAATAAACTCTACATTTTAGTTTAAAACTGAGATGCCATCATACTTTATTATCCTAATTAGAATATCCTGATCGGCAGGCACCTTAAACAGAAAACAAACTCAGCCCTGGCCGGTTTGGCTCAGCGGTTAGAGCGTCGGCCTGTGGTCCGGAGAGACCCGGGTTCGGTTCCCGCTAAGGGCACGTACTTCGGTTGCAGTTTGTCCCCGGCCCTGGTTGGTCGTGCGGGTGGCAGCCACTCGATGTGTCCCTTCACTTCGATGTTTCTCTCTCTCTCTCTCCCTTCCTCTCTCTCCCTCCCACTCTATCTGTACAAACAATGGAAAAATATCCTCGGGTGAGGATAAAAAAAAACAAAACAGAAAACAAACTCAAGTTTAAAATACAATTCAAACATAGTGAAAAGCCCCTGAAATAAACCTAATACTGTATAATGGTGTGTGGAGGCCACATGAAACCACTCCTTTCAGTACTGTATTTCAAACATATTCAAAACAGACCCTGTCTTAATAGTTGGTATTCCTAACTATTCCATCACTTGAGACTATCACCCCGAAGCCCAGCTGTGGAACTGGACAATCTCCTTTTGTCCTCAAAACATTAACACAGCCTTATTTTAAGACTAACTGATATAGAAAAATGGACTACGAATGAAAAATACAAACACAGGTAAATTGCAAATGTAAAGTTCTTGTATTATTAGACTCTTGCCTGTGGTTTTAGATATACTGGGGCAGGGTAAATTAATGCCCTTTGGGGGTTTCACCCTAAATCCATTCTTAAATGAAAATCAAGAAGGTAGAATCAGAATAGTCGAAGTCCCTAGGGAATTTGTGGCTGCGGATCTTCAGGCTAGCTAAAATAGGAATTATCTCCTCTGGACTTGATTCCATCTAGAATATTCCTCGTATCTGGGAATCCTTTGGTAATGCGAATCCAGAATCTTCCATGGCTACTGCCACCCTAACAACCAACCATCAATTCTTGACTCTGGATTATTTTCAACAGCCATCAACTTATCTGCCTTCCTCGAGTTTTGTTCAGATTCTTTTAAAACTTTCAGTCAGAGCCTGACACTATGCTCAAAAGCCTACAAGGACTATCCACTTCATTCAGCAAAGGCCAAGGACTCCCAATATCCTACAAAGCCTTACCTAACCCAGCCCTTGCTTCCAACCACCCTCTTGGGTACTGTCCCTCTGTGATAAGGTGGCTCCTACCTTCAAGGCTTCAGCCTGGAACACTCTCTTCCAGGCTGTGGACATGGCTCACTCTGCAGCAAGTGATTAATTTTCCTCCCATGCACACCATGGATTTGATAAAAGAATGCTTTCCCCCCAAAAAATTGGCTTCTAAAAATTCATTTCCCTGTATCTATTTGCAGACACACTGCCTCTCTTAAAAATTAAGAACTTAAGACTTCTCCTTTGATGAATACCCAACAATGCAAAAAGCCCTCTCAGGTATTTAAAAATTGTACTTCGTTACTATTAATGTAAATTGTTTTGTACTTGAAAAACCACCCATTAAAAAAAACAGTTAGGAAAGAAAGCCCGCTCCAAAACACCAACAAAACAAAAAGAAGAAAACTCTCTGAATTCATAATTATATAATTTCACTATATGTACTGCTGTTTGTGGGAAAGTTTTCAGCCCTGGCCAGTTTGGCTCAGCGGTTAGAGCGTCGGCCTGCGGTCCAGAGAGACTCGGGTTCGGTTCCCGCTAAGGGCACGTACTTCGGTTGCAGTTTGTCCCTGGCCCTGGTCGGTCGTGCAGGTGGCAGCCACTCGATGTGTCCCTTTCACATGATGTTTCTCTCTCTCCCTCCCACTCTACCTGAACAAAAAAAAATGGAAAAATGTCCTCGGGTGAGGATAAAAAAAAAAAAAAGAAAAGAAAAGAAAGTTTTCAGAACCCTAAAAGGAGGCACCACATCTATGTGTGAGATGGAATAGATCACCTTCACATTTCTAAAATTTGAGCTTTGTGACTCGAAGAGTTCTTGCCCATATCAATGTAAAACAAAGCAAAAAACTCTAAGAGAGCAAGGCCTGTGCCTTGTCTAACCTTTGCATTTTTGTTTTGTTTTGTTTTTAAAATCCTTACCACCCAAGGATATTTTTCCATTTATCTTCAGATAGAGTGGGAGGGAGGGAGGTGGGACACAGAGAGAGAGAGAGAGAAGGAAACAGCGAAACAGCAATGTGAGAGGAACACATCAATTGGTTGCCTCCCACATAACCCCAACCAGGGCAGGGGACCAAGCCACAACTGAGGTGTGTGCCCTTGACAGGAATCAAACCAGTGACTCTTTGGTCTGAGGGCCAACACTCTAACCACTGAGTCAAACCGGCCAAGGCTAACCTATGTATTTCTAATGTCCAAAATATACACTCTTCAGTTATTTGTTGAATAAATGTATCTGGCAAATGCTAATAACATTTACATGGTATTTTTGAATTGCTTAAAATACTTGAAAAATTAGGAAATCATGTTAGATATGCTGATATCCTCAATTAAATATTATTCACTACATAAGGGAATATAACTGCCTAAAACAACAAGGATTGATAATCCAAGAATCAGAATGAAAGATTGTGAATATTTGAAATTCCGTTTTTCTAAATAAGCTACAGTAAAGATGAAATAAGCATTCACGATAATAGGCAAGAGAAGAGACAGCATTCTGAAATTCAAAATAACTCAAATTAAGAAAACCTATCACAAATTTCTGTCATCTTTCCAAATTCTTACAACCAACAGGGGTGTCTTATAGGAACCCTAGAGCAGCTTGAAGAAAGGTACCCTTTTGTAATGCAATCCACTGAAGGACCATGAAGGTCACTGAAGATCTGGCAAAATTGTGTTTACTATTCAATAACACTATTCCATAATGGCAAACTAAGAAGAAAGCAATGTTCTTAAAGTCTAAACAGTAAAATAAAGGGTAGTCTCATCTGCAAAAATTCCAATGAATCCAAGTGTCCCCCTTAAAAAGAAGTGATTTGTCTTTTTGAAAATGTGTATATGCAAATTAAAAACATTACATATAAAATCACATAGCCCAACTGAAACCATCCATTCCTGAAACCAAAAGCAAGGGCAATAATATATTATTACTGTACTCAATGATTCTCTGTACAGTCTTCAAAATTCAACCCATCTCATGTGTAAACTGCTAATGCCAAAACCTTTTTTTGTGAATTCTTTCAACAGTTAGGAGTAACTACCTTAAAGCAGTTTTCTTCAGAGCTGTGGCTTAGTCTTGGTCAGTCTGTACTGTATTCAGAAACCCAACAGCTTTTAATAAGGAGTATCCCTAGTTGTCCCCATCCCCATTGATTTTTAAAAGAATTTCAAAGCTACAGAAGCTGAAACAATGAACATCCACATACCTTTATGTATATTCAACAAAGGTTCGTTTTTCCGCATTTGTTCTATTGTGTGTGTGTGTGTGTATATATATATATATATACATATATATATACACATACACACACATGCCTTTTCTGTGTGTTTGAAAATAAGCTGCACACCCATCGCCTTCACCCCTAAACACAGCATGAATCTTCTAGAATTTTCTCCTACATAACCACAGCACCTTTATCACATTCAAGGAATTTAAAATTGTTCAATGACGGACATTTAACCCACATGACATATTCAAATATCCAGTTGCTACCAAAATACCCCTTTAGTTCTTGTTTGGATCCATGGTGTAATCAAGACTGACAAACAGTGCATCTGTTTGGTCTCCTTCAATCTAGTGGTCTCTCTGCTTATCTTCCGTGGCACTAACCTTTTAGAATCTGGACTAGCTGGTTTGAGTCCATCTGCCTCATTCATTCCCCATGTGATTAGATCTGGGCGAAGTGTTCTGGCAAGAGCACCACCCAGATGAGACTGTGCGCCAGCTCTTGCACTCTGTCAGGAGGTGCGTTGGTTCCGTTTCTCTCACTACTAGTCTAATCACTTGGTCGTGGTAATGTTCATCAGACCTATTTACTGTACAGGTGTCTTTTCCCCTTTGTAACTGGAAGAAGCTGAGACCATGGGAACTTGCCATCAAAACACCCTTCCACTCAGTCATCATGGAAGCCTATCAACAGTGTTATCATCCAGTGGTGATTTTGAATTATTTCCTGTGGGGGCTGCAAATGGTCATTTTACAACTCTTATCCCTCTTCTCTAATTATTAGCTTGGCATTCTTCCGTAAAGAAAGCTTTTTTTCTAATGGACTCATAATGTACTCATGTAATTCTGTGAAATGTTCATGGATTCTATGTCCTCATGTGCAGGGTGCTTCCCCCAAAGTACAGTTGCTATAAATACTGGCTATATCATTTAGAATTAACATTTTTTTCCTATAGCCATCAACAACCATACTATTATTTTATATCAAAGCTAATTCAAATACATTAATCATTCTGATAATTACCATTCTCATTCCATCTATATATTAGCAGGAAGCCACCATAATTACTTTTGATAGTTAAGAGCTTTAAAACATCCACCAAATAAATAAGAAATGCCTATTTATTTGTATGTACCAGGCTTCCAAAATCTATCCTAATCATAGACAGATGAAAGTATTAAAATGTAATACTCTCCGTTAAGAAAAGGAAACTGCAGCAGGTCCTTAATAAACATGAATCACAAACACTTCCCAATCTGCAATCCTCTTAAATGTATTTTTAAATTCCTACTGTACAGGGGGGGCAAAGGATGGGAGAAAATGGGGGACATCTGCAATCAACAATTAAAAAAAAATTACTACTGTGCCTACCAGCATCACCTCCATCCTGACCCAAGCTGGCTTCAGCCAGTAAGTTTGAGTTCACACTCCTATCACAGTCTGGCCCTGAGAGCAGAGCACCGTCCAGATCTGAAAGAGACAGAGAGTAATCTATTATTACAAGCACACCACAGTCACCACCCAACACTACTCCCTTCTGGACCTGTTTCTTGGTACACAGAGAGGCCATCTGCAAGTGTTGACCACCTGCTCAACACAAGGCACAAAAGCATAAGACAGGATTTTCAACCACAAGAATAAGTGCATGCTCAACAGTAAGTACAGTGTACTGGATAGGAATGAGCTTCAGAGCCAGTGTGAACTGGTACTCTAGCTCTATTTGTTATTGGCTACATGAGCAGCTGCCTCAGTTTCCTCATATGCATCCACCTATATCAGATTTGATAGAGAAATTAGGTTAATGCAGGCCAAGTGTTATAATTATGTTGTCTGGCACCCAAAAGATAGCTCCTACTGCTAGTGTTCAGTACTAGATATGTAAAACATTGTTTCTGCACTGGTTCAGAGGTGGAAAAGACCATTTAAAGCTAAAATAGAAAAGGAAGCTATCAAAGAGGTCACTCCCAAGAGTGCATCATAAACTATGGAAAGGATGTGGGGAGGCAGAATAAAAGAAAAGGGCATACTGCCCAGCCGGTGTGGCTCAGTGGTTGAGCATTGACCCATGCATCATGAGGTCGAAGATTCGATTCCCAGTCAGGGCACATGCCCAGACTTTGGGCTTGATCCCCCCCAGCAGGGGGCATGCACGAAGCAGCCGATCAATGTTGATGTTTCTCATGGATGTTTCTCCCTTCCTATCTCTCTGTAATCAATAAAAACAATTTTTAAAAAAAGAAAGAAAAGGACATACTAACATGATGCGTACTTTTGCTTCCAATCTGTAACTCCCTTTAAATCTGTTCCATCACCTCCATTTCTCTACCACTGCCTTCACTTGTGCACTTGTTCTTACAGATTAGTGAGTGAACGACTCAAACAGCTCCTTGGTCTCCTTGCTTCCCAAATACAGTGTTCCCACCACCACTCACTTCCCACATGCTGCCTGACCGATCTCCCTAAAACATAAATCTTTATACATTGCTCCTTTCCCATGGTTAACCACAGCTTTTAAAATGGTCTTCAAACTCTTTAGTTTAGAGTACAAGGTCACGTTCAGGTTCCTGCTTATGAATCTAGAATCACCCATTGGCACTCTTTCAAATGAATTCCATGTTTGTGGAAAGAGTTTTTAAATGCTTTTTATGGACAGTCTCTCCTCTGCCTTCCATTCAAGACTCAACCTTGGTATCACCATCCTGTACTACTCTGGATCCTAAACACTGAAGGTTAAAAAAAAAATCCTTCCTCTTTACATAAGCAGATAATTTATTTTTAAAAGTTTATAGTGGGCAAATAAACTGCGGTATAGACATACAATGGAGACACTACTCAGCAGTGGTTCTAGTGTGTAGTTATCAACCCAAAGCACTCAACAGATCTGACACTTCCTACTAAGAGGCCAGAAGGATACTACTTTCATGGCTGACTGACAGAAGAATAGTTCAGTTGATCTCATTGTGAGCACGAATAGGTCATGTATACCCCTGTAGGCTTCAGTAAGGAATTGGGCCTTTTTTCCTAAGAGCAGTAAAAGGATTTTAAACAGTGTTAATCTCATTTGTCTTTTAAACAAAACTATTCCTGGTGTTGTAGGAATGAGTTAAAGGAGGGCAAGAGGAGATAAAAGGAGGCAGGTTAGAAAGCTAATACTTCAGGTGGGAACTGGTGGTGGCCATGGCTTGCCTAAATGGCCATGGAAAATAGACAAAAGTGGATGAATTTGAGAAAGTTTGTGGGGCAAAGTGGAGCAGGCTTGGTGACAGAATGGGTGTTGGGGCAGGAGCGAGGGTAATGGGTGAGCTTCTGGCCTATTAATAACGGCAGGAGGGAACTCTAGAAGAGAACCAGTTAGTTCTGGAGGGAATAGGAGGTATAAGAAGTCTAGTTATGAACTTACTGAGGTTTAATGACATGTATGGGTGGCAATGGTGGGTTAAAAGGTGAGCTCTAGATACTTCCTGGAACCAGCTCTGCCACTTCCCGGCTGTGACAATTACTTCTGCTTCTGTGACTGACAATCACTACACTGGTCCCTAGTGTAGTCCCCTAAACCAGCAGCAGTGTTATCTGGAAACTTGCTAGAAAAGTCAATTTTCAGGCCCCATTTCAGCCCTATTCAGATGCTCTGCAGGTGGAGCCCAGCAATCTGGATTTTAATAAGCCCTCTAGGTGATTCTGATGCTTACTGTCTTTTTATGAAAATGGGGGAAATACCAGGCAAAGAGCTAAGCACTTTTCATTTAATATTACTGAGATAAATGAAAAGTGTTTATTAGCTCTTTGCCTGGTATATATCAACACTCAAAATTTTAATTTTTTCTTCCAAATGGAGAAATTTAGTACCAAAGGCTCTAGATTTGATGCTTGAACTGGGTACAAAAATGTTTAAGTTGTTAGATTATGTAGTAAATTAAGCCATGGGAGTATACAGATGAGACCATGAAGGAAAGACCAGCATACTGATGAATCCCAGCATTTAATAAGCTACAAAGGGACAATGCTGTCAAGAATTCAAAATGAGGCCTGAAATATGTATTAATCCAAGACTACTGAGCACCCAGGTGGATGGGTGGGGCAAGCAGAAAGAGAATTAGTAGACACAATATAGATAATTTGAGAAATTTGGCTGTAAAAGGGAAGAGTGACAAACATTTAAATGCTGAAAGGAAGCAGCCACTACAAAAGGGAGAAGTTAAAGTTATTGAAGAAATACCACAAAAAGAAATGGTCGGATTTCTAAGGTTCCCAGGGAGTCTGTCTGGGTAACTTAAGAGAGACAGCCAAGACCATCTGAAGAGAGGTGTTTGAAGATGGGCACTTAGGACACTCCAGTAGACTGGTTCTTATTTCCTCTTTTGGGTAGAACTCGAGGGTGCCACCTAAAGAAATGGGCTGGAAGTCAAGAGGAAGACCAAGAAGTTCATAGATAGTAAGCAGACACAAACTCCTGTACCTATTCTTTCAGAGCAAGGACACTACTTGGGGCTTATTTTAGCAGTACTTATCAAAATGCATGACAAATAAAAAGCTTTTCAACAACTGAAATTCTGGCTTAAATACTCTGCCCATTGCAACCTGTATTACTAGTTTAGTTTTAATTAATAGTGTTTGAAGAATAATTTCTGTTTTCTGCTGGTACAATCACACTAAAACACATCTATAAACTGAAAATAACTAACTGAAATTCAGTAGCTCTGTTTTCCTATGAAAAGTTAATTAATTATATTTTGAAAATCAAAAATAAAACTCAAATCATTCCAAACAATTTTACTAGCTTTCTCAATATCTTTTCAAAACAGTCACTATAAAGTGTAGTCTGTTCAGAGGGCACTTCTTCAAATTCTCCCACATGGGTTTGTAAATACAGGGTGTTTCTATTCATGTAACATTCTATAGTGATCTGTGGAAGGCTTTTCTCTGCTGGTTCTTAAAATAGACATTTCCTGTCTCCTACCCTGTCTCAAAAGTACTGGAATTTGTAATCTTTAATCCTACATGGACACTGGGTACAGAACACTGCACCCCAAGATGGCTAATGTACACTTCCTGTGCACAGTATTTCCTCTCCAAATAAATTCATACCCACACTACAGGCACTCTCTTTTGAGATGTACCAACTACTTGGTTCTTGATATCATAAACGAAGGTTGACAAAAGCTCTCATAAAGAGCATGCTTCATTCAGGAATCAATACCTCATATCATTTCTGTACCTTACTGACACCAGCTAAACTGCCTAGCAACTCATTTTTCAGCAGTTTTGTTGATGTGAGTGGGAGAAACCAGGCAACCAACTACTCACTCCCTTGACACAGGAATGAATCTGCTTCGCTAGGAAGCAAAAGCAGTGACTCTTGCTTACCATCTTTTTCTCTAATAAGATTAAAAATAAACTGTAACATACTTGCTTTTTTAATATTCATAACTTTGTTATGGAAATCTTTCACTTTGTTTAAACTTAGCAAAAAGGGCTAAGATCTCTCTACAAATGACAGACCTTTTTGGAGGACTATTAAAAAGTTAGTTTCACAAGATAACAGCTCTTTCTGAATGGTAGAGGGTATTATGTGTGCTGTGTAATATCATTAAAATCATCAGAGCTAAATAAGTTTTGTATAATTTCCTCTATTTTTACAAATGTTTTTCTCCCATGAACAGGTAATAGCAGACCCCTCCTCAAAAGAAGACACAAAGAACAGATTTTATGCACCAAGCAGTAAGTCTTTTTGTACATGCTTTCTCATTCAAACTTTACATGTGTATGTAGTAATAGTAAGAATGTTCTTATCCTCCCTGTACAAGTGAATTAAGGTAAGCTGGAGGCAGACTGCTGTCCTGCTTGTTAACTGTATCCCCAGTACTGTGGTATGAGCACCAAACTTGGGACCTGGCAAAAAGCCGACCAGCAAAATGAAGGGTTCAATCTGCAATGATGGACATGAACATGCAGAAGAAATCCATTTTAAACTCATGTTCCTAGTGATACTTGATATTTTCTGCTAAAAGAGTAAAAACAAACCTCACCTACATTCTGCTAACCCTGCATTTCACTTTATTAACTTTCCCTTTATCTAACACAACCATTTCAAAATCTAAGTAGACCTTAGATTTCAGCTATTGTTGTTCTTCACAGTAATACATTTTTGTCTATCTTTAAGGCAACCTCCTTCTTAGAATTCATTTTTTTAATATAATTCTGATTGACCATGTATTGCATTTTTAAAACATGACCATCTTGTTCATAGGCTTTTAAAAAAATCTGATTAATAAGCAATGGAAATACAGTGTTTTTATAAACAGGTACAGATTATTTTACTTCCTTCACTGTGATCAAGGTTTTGCTGTTCAGTGGAGTAAACTCAGTTGCGGTGATTATATAAAGCAACCCTGGGTTCCTATAGCAGCCCAGAGACTCACCCAGATACCTTCCGACTCTTAGACTAGGCTCTGCTATTTCTTTGCATTGCT